AAATATTCTTTAAAAATCCACGCCTGTTTTGTTGTCCTACAAAAAATATTCTTTAAAAATCCACGCCTATATTTTGTCCTTAGAAAAAATATTTTTTAAAAATCCACGCCTATATTTTGTCCTTAGAAAAAATATTCTTTAAAAATCCACGCCTATATTTTGTCCTTAGAAAAAATATTCATTAAAGATCCACGCCTATATTTTGCCCTTAAAAAATATTCTTTAAAAATCCACGCCTATATTTTGTCCTTAGAAAAATATTCTTTAAAAATCCACGCCTGTTTTGTTGTCCTACAAAAAATATTCTTTAAAAATCCACGCCTATATTTTGTCCTTAGAAAAAATATTCTTTAAAAATCCACGCCTGTTTTGTTGTCCTACAAAAAATATTCTTTAAAAATCCACGCCTGTTTTGTTGTCCTACAAAAAATATTCTTTAAAAATCCACGCCTATATTTTGTCCTTAGAAAAAATATTCTTTAAAAATCCACGCCTATATTTTGCCCTTAAAAAAATATTCTTTAAAAATCCACGCCTATATTTTGCCCTTAGAAAAATATTCTTTAAAAATCCACGCCTGTTTTGTTGTCCTACAAAAAATATTCTTTAAAAATCCACGCCTGTTTTGTTGTCCTACAAAAAATATTCTTTAAAAATCCACGCCTATATTTTGTCCTTAGAAAAAATATTCTTTAAAGATCCACGCCTATATTTTGCCCTTTTAAAAATATTCTTTAAAAATCCACGCCTATTTTGTTGTCCTACAAAAAATATTCTTTAAAAATCCACGCCTATTTTGTTGTCCTACCACGCCTTTTTAGGAAAATTCCCAAAATCCCCATTATTATTTTTCCAATTCGTCCCCGCATATCCTTTAGTGTGCGAAAGGAAGAGCCAAGTAATTTTGCAACATGTCCATCAACAGTGACAGAGGACGAATACACAAACAAGCAAACAAACAAAAAACGGATACAAGTTTCTTAGTCAATATTTGCTTACTGTGGCGGCCACACACACACACGAACAGGACAAATGTTATAAATTCTAATAAAAAATGAATTGAATTGCTAAAATTGCAACAACAACAACAAATAGCTAAGATAGTAGCAAAAAAAATTGAAACTCAATCCACGGATCGAAGGATAAAAAACAATGGCATCGAAAATGAAAATGAAAAAACAACGACAACAAAATAAACAAAATATCCTGCTCGTGTGTTTTTCATTTCCAACTGACCAAGGAATGGAACGGTCCGTCCATTCCTTGAAAGGCAAATAGGAACGAAGCAACAAAGTTGATATTTTATGCAATTTTAGTTCAAACTTTGGATTTGTATTTACTTAATAAGGGGCGACATATGAAAACAGGGTGGGGAGGTCCTCCATTGAAGGGTGAGGTGGTATGGAAGCGTGTGTCTGTGTGTGTATGTTTTTAGTTGATATTTGAGTTTAATGTTTCCGTCTTCGTCACATCAAACAGGGGAGCGTACACAAGGCCATACAAGGAAACATTAGTTCGGAGGACGTCAATTTTTTAACCCTTTTTCGGGTCCGATTAAATGGTTTCTTTTTCACAAACAAAAATAATCATAAATGTTCGTGGATTTTTAAACACATATTTTTTCTAAGGACAACAAAATAGGCGTGGATTTTTAAAGAATATTTTTTCTAAGGACAACAAAATAGGCGTGGATTTTTAAAGAATATTTTTTCTAAGGACAACAAAATAGGCGTGGATTTTTAAAGAATATTTTTTCTAAGGACAACAAAATAGGCGTGGATTTTTAAAGAATATTTTTTCTAAGGACAACAAAATAGGCGTGGATTTTTAAAGAATATTTTTTCTAAGGACAACAAAATAGGCGTGGATTTTTAAAGAATATTTTTTCTAAGGACAACAAAATAGGCGTGGATTTTTAAAGAATATTTTTTCTAAGGACAACAAAATAGGCGTGGATTTTTAAAGAATATTTTTTCTAAGGACAACAAAATAGGCGTGGATTTTTAAAGAATATTTTTTCTAAGGACAACAAAATAGGCGTGGATTTTTACAGACCAGTTTTTGGGGCTACACAATAGGCGTGGATTTTTAAAGAATATTTTTTCTAAGGACAACAAAATAGGCGTGGATTTTTAAAGAATATTTTTTCTAAGGACAACAAAATAGGCGTGGATTTTTAAAGAATATTTTTTCTAAGGACAACAAAATAGGCGTGGATTTTTAAAGAATATTTTTTCTAAGGACAACAAAATAGGCGTGGATTTTTAAAGAATATTTTTTCTAAGGACAACAAAATAGGCGTGGATTTTTAAAAAATTTTTTCTAGGCGTGGATTTTTAAAGAATATTTTTTCTGAAGACAACAAAATAGGCGTGGATTTTTAAAGAATATTTTTTCTAAGGACAACAAAATAGGCGTGGATTTTTAAAGAATATTTTTTCTAAGGACAACAAAATAGGCGTGGATTTTTAAAGAATATTTTTTCTAAGGACAACAAAATAGGCGTGGATTTTTAAAGAATATTTTTTCTAAGGACAACAAAATAGGCGTGGATTTTTAAAGAATATTTTTTTCTAAGGACAACAAAATAGGCGTGGATTTTTAAGGAGATTTTTATATTTTTTCTAAGGACAACAAAATAGGCGTGGATTTTTAAAGAATATTTTTTCTAAGGACAACAAAATAGGCGTGGATTTTTAAAGAATATTTTTTCTAAGGACAACAAAATAGGCGTGGATTTTTAAAGAATATTTTTTAGGCTAAGGACAACAAAATAGGCGTGGATTTTTAAAGAATATTTTTTCTAAGGACAACAAAATAGGCGTGGATTTTTAAAGAATATTTTTTCTAAGGACAACAAAATAGGCGTGGATTTTTAAAGAATATTTTTTCTAAGGACAACAAAATAGGCGTGGATTTTTAAAGAATATTTTTTCTAAGGACAACAAAATAGGCGTGGATTTTTAAAGAATATTTTTTTTAAAGAATATTTTTTCTAAGGACAACAAAATAGGCGTGGATTTTTAAAGAATATTTTTTAATAGGCGTGGATTTTTAAAGGACAACAAAATAGGCGTGGATTTTTAAAGAATATTTTTTCTAAGGACAACAAAATAGGCGTGGATTTTTAAAGAATATTTTTTGAAGGGGAACAAAATAGGCGTGGATTTTTAAAGAATATTTTTTCTAAGGACAACAAAATAGGCGTTTGAGACCCCAAAAGAGGCGTGGATTTTTTAAGGGATATTTTTTGAGACCCCAAAAGAGGCGTGGATTTTTTAAGGAATATTTTTTGAGAGACCAAAAGAGGCGTGGATTTTTTAAGGAATATTTTTTGGGACCCCAAAAGAGGCGTGGATTTTTTAAGGAATATTTTTTGGGACCCCAAAAGAGGCGTGGATTTTTTAAGGAATATTTTTTGAGACCCCAAAAGAGGCGTGGATTTTTTAAGGAATATTTTTTGAGACCCCAAAAGAGGCGTGGATTTTTTAAGGAATATTTTTTGAGACCCCAAAAGAGGCGTGGATTTTTTAAGGAATATTTTTTGAGACCCCAAAAGAGGCGTGGATTTTTTAAGGAATATTTTTTGAGACCCCAAAAGAGGCGTGGATTTTTTAAGGAATATTTTTTGAGACCCCAAAAGAGGCGTGGATTTTTTAAGGAATATTTTTTTACATGGATTTTTTGGGGAATATTTTTGAGACCCCAAAAGAGATTTTTTAAATTTGTGTTTTTTATACTTTTCTCATCGACTTGTAGACCAAATAAAATAAAATATATATTTTCAAATTGTTTTTGTTTTTCACAAACCCTTTGCCGAGTTCGTGATAAGCATTTAACAAAAAAATGAAAAATATTTTTAACTTCATATTCAAATTGTATTTTAACTCAATGTTTGGTATGATGAGGTGTAAATTGAAATGCGTGCAAGCATTTGTCGGGTAATGTAATAAACAAAAGTAATACAAAATACGAGTACGGTCCATGAAATATACAAAGATTTTGGTAAAAGCTTTTCACGATGGTCTTTACTGCCTCTTCATATTATGACAGACAAAAAAATATATGAATTCACAATATTAAATATGGATTTCATGTGTGAACATTAGGGTGTCACGAAATATTGTTGTTATTCAAATATTCTAAGTTTATTTCCTTATATAATTAGTATTACAGATCCTCTATATTTTTTCTAATAAACTTCCATGTTAGTTCCATCCTAATAACTCTCACCCTCCAATCAATGACATTTAATGTGGATCAACAGATAGCCTTCATTGCTGCTTTCAACGAAACCATTTTTTAATTTCAAATGTTAACCTGGAGAGATTGTTATTTTTTGAAAAAAATCTTTTTATTATTAAATAATATTCTTTCATTTATATTCGGATTGTGTTTGTCCGATATCTGTTCCGTTTTAATATTTTAGCATATTTTTTGGTTGTTGTTGGTGTTTATTCCCGTGTACGTGTTTTCTTTGTCTACCAATATTTTTATGCATATTAACAGCCTGTTACCCTGTGTTTTGGGTATTTGGTGCTGCCATCTATCCACCATCACCCAACACTCAGATACGCAGTTTGACCATCATCATCAAACCAAGGCTACTACTTCATTTGCCTTTGCTGCTACGTTTTTCGGCAGCCATATATGAAAGAGTTGACCGGTATATGGTTTGTTGTGTGGCAGTTCGGAATTTTTAAATTTCACTTGGCATATTTTCGGGCATTCGTATAATATTAACGTTACTGTTTTTTTGGTTTGAACAAAAATACAAAACGTGAGTGGAAATGCCAAAAACAGAGAGGTAACACACACACATACATACGAAGTCATAAACATACAATTGCGTTTATTTGTTAAACTGAGTTTAAGCTTTTTTTAAACAATATTTTTTAAAAACACACTCAATAAAGAAGGATGTAATAATTATTTTTACGCAAACCCCAGAGATTTTTTAAAAAATATACAATTTATAAATTTTTGGTACTTTTTTCGATTTATTCTATCACGTATTTCAATTGATTTTTCCTCGCCTTCTCCATATGCTCCATCAGGCGATCGTTAACCAATTTCTTCAACTCCGATGATATATAGAAATCATAATGATTGAATTTCTCCGCATCAATACGATAAACGCCCTTGACGTTATCCAACATATGGGCATAAATGGAATGAACACCTGCGGGCGTAGCTATGGCATCGGTATCACCAAAATATAACAACATTGGAACTGTGACTTGTGACAAATTATAACTAGGTGGCGATACACTTCTGTACTGTAATAAATTGCCTTGTGGTTCGTAGTCGAACCAAATGAAATCACCTGATTTCCATATTTGGCGTAGATGGGTTACTTCTTTCACTGAACCACCCTGCAGCAGCTGACCATAGAGTAGGGTGTTCATGGCCTGCAATTAGGTGTCCTGTATTAGAAAATAGCTTATAGGTGTGAACGAGAGCCATACCCCATCATACTGGCCATTACCAGCAAGAAGATGAAACCATTTTTCACATTCCGATCGTTGAGAAGATCTGAGGCATTTGTCACGCATAAAACTTTTGGGGAGCAGTTCAAAATCATCGGCATTAGCTTTCTTCTGTAAGGAATCATGGCATATTAGCATATTATTATTAAAACACTTTGCGCCTATATGGACCTTGAAATTTGCACAATCCACCCTAGTATGACGCTTGGAAAGAAGTAGTTGCAAATATACGAGCTAATTGGTGGGTCGGATGGTCATTAAAAATAGTCGTTAAAACGATTCTTAAAAAATATTCTTTACATATTTCACTCTCATTAGTCGAAAGGACCTTGAAAAAATATTCTTTAAAAAAATCCACCCTATTGTGAAAATATTCTTTAATAAATACACCCAGTTGTGATCCTCGAATATGGTGATCCCAAAAAAATATTCTTTAACATATGCACCCTGTTGTGATCTTCGAATATGGTGGTCCTAAAAAATATTCTTTAACAAATACACCCTGTTGCGATCCTCGAATATGGTGGTCCTAAACAGTCCTCCAAAAAACATTCTTTAAAAAATCCACGCTTCCTATAGCCCTCCAAAAAACATTCTTTAAAAAATCCACGCCTCCTATAGCCCTCCAAAAAACATTCTTTAAAAAATCCACGCTTCCTATAGCCCTCCAAAAAACATTCTTTAAAAAATCCACGCCTCCTATAGCCCTCCAAAAAACATTCTTTAAAAAATCCACGCCTCCTATAGCCCTCCAAAAAACATTCTTTAAAAAATCCACGCCTCCTATAGCCCTCCAAAAAACATTCTTTAAAAAATCCACGCCTCCTATAGCCCTCCAAAAAACATTCTTTAAAAAATCCACGCCTCCTATAGCCCTCCAAAAAACATTCTTTAAAAAATCCACGCCTCCTATAGTCCTCCAAAAAACATTCTTTAAAAAATCCACGCATCCTATAGCCTTCCAAAAAACATTCTTTAAAAAATCCACGCCTCCTATAGCCCTCCAAAAAAAATTCTTTAAAAAATCCACGCCTCCTATAGCCCTCCAAAAAACATTCTTTAAAAAATCCACGCCTCCTATAGCCCTCCAAAAAACATTCTTTAAAAAATCCACGCCTCCTATAGCCCTCCAAAAAAAATTCTTTAAAAAATCCACGCCTCCAAAAAACATTCTTTAAAAAATCCACGCCTCCAAAAAACATTCTTTAAAAAATCCACGCCTCCTATAGCCCTCCAAAAAACATTCTTTAAAAAATCCACGCATCCTATAGCCCTCCAAAAAACATTCTTTAAAAAATCCACGCCTCCTATAGCCCTCCAAAAAACATTCTTTAAAAAATCCACGCCTCCTATAGCCCTCCAAAAAATATTCTTTAATAAATACACCCTGTTGTGATCCTCGAATATGATGGTCCTAAAATATTATTTAACAAATATGCCCTGTTGTGATCCTCGAATATGGTGGTTCTAAAAAGTATTCTTTAACAAACACACCCTGTTGTGATGCTCGAATATAGTAGTCCTAAAAAATGTTCTTTAAAAATACACCCTGTTGTGATCATCGAATATGGTGATCCTGATCCTATAGCCCTCCAAAAACACATGCTTAAAAAATCCTCGCCTCCCATCGCTCTCAAAAATATTCTTTAAAAAATCCTCGCCTCCCATCGCTCTCAAAAATATTCTTTAAAAAATCCACGCCTCTTATCGCTCTCAAAAAATATTTTTTAAGAATTCCACCCCTCCTATCGCTCTCAAAAAATATTCTTTAAGAAATCCACGTCTCCCATCGCTCTTTTATGGCCGTCACCAAAAAATCCTTAAAGTCTCTCCAACTTACCTTAACAAATCGAAAGATTTTCCTCACATCATCATTCGTGAATTTAACCTGATTCCGCAAGGAGACAATTGGTGCTAAAGCCTGTACAAATTGTAAACGCTCATTATACTGTGGCAGCAGGGAGCACAATACCAAAATGGCATTAAAAGCCTAAAAATGGAAAATTGGGAACAGACAAAAACGCAAACAATCAAAATGAGGGGTAGCATCAATTTTTTGGGGCGGAGGAAAGGAAAATATTTGCATAAGTGTGTGTGTGAGTGTGCCCGGACTCACCTGGGAGTGGGCAATTAACCAAACTTGATGAAATGATGTTTCATTGCGAATGTGGTCAACAATGGCTGGCAGATCGTAACGACCCCATTCGTGGAAGCTGAAACTCCAAAATTCGGCATCCTTGATGGTGAAGCGGGAATGATTGCGGCCATAAGCTGAGCCTCGTAAATTGGCCAACCAAACATCATGTTTATTGTTAAACAACTGAAAGGCTACAAAGGATGTCAAAGGAAGTGGGTTTTCCAGGAACAACAATAACAACAAAAGAATGGAGGATGGACGACACGTCAAAAAATGAAATGATAAACACTTGAATTTAATTAGTTCTTTCATTTGTGTTGAATGTAGCTTACCCAAACTTTTCCCCGGTCCCATTATAACCCAGGCCAGGGAAGAGCTCAGCAAACCATGCAGCAGTAATATGGGACTTGAACCCGGTCTTGGCAGGCGATGTAGAGTTAGATTATAACCATCTTCGGTTACCACGTAATGTATTTCCAATGAATAGTTGTGTTTGCGAATCCAATCGCTCTAAAATTTAACACTGGCCTTTTAATTGAATTTTCCAAATTAAATTACAAAATATCTACCCACCGTTGTCCACTTAAGTTTTTCATATTTTCCTGAATTTTCATCAATTTCTCGAGAATTCTCATCGATTTCATTGGTATGACCATTTCCTCTGTTCGATTTGCCAAAAATATTCCAAAATAATGGACCATCCCTCGAATTGGAATGGAATCGAGGCCAACATGCTGTCGTCTGGCAATTTCCAATAACTTCACAAATCGCCAGCAAAAATAGAAGTATCGACTGTCGTGTTTTACTTTGTTTAGACATTTAAAACTGTTTCTAGATATTTTTGTGTTGGTTTCCAAATGGCCATGGTAATTTTGATCGTATGTGTTGGAAAATTTCATGGTAGAATGCGAGCTAATTGTTAACGTATCGTTTGTCGTAATCAGGGATTTGATAATCACAAACATTTTCGGAATATGCCACTTGTACTAATATATTACTATTTATATATTAGTACAAGTGGCTCAATGGTGGGTTGGTGTTTTAGAGGAGGCTTATGCTTCACTATGCGTGTGTACGCATGTATTCTATTTTTGGGTTTTCAATGAATTACGCAATGGAACAAAATTGAACTCATATTTTTTATTAATTTTACGTCTTTTAAATTTTAAAAATCAAGGAGTATTGCGACCCTGGAAAACGTTACTTACTTACTTAGCTGGCTTGTGACAGAACTTTTGCGCAGTTTTTCCAATTTGAAATACCATATTCGGCAATGTTGTCTTCCACTTGGTCTTTGCAGCTTATTCGCGGCCTTCCCCATCTTCGTGAACCATCAGCTGGTTCGCTTTTATATGCCTTCTGGGCTGGGGCATCTTCATCCAGTCTCACAACATGACATAGCCAATGTAGTCGCTGCAGCTCAATACGTCTAACAATGTCGATGTCCGAGAATAGCGAATGAACCATGGACGTCACCGTCAACGCAGATTGGCCCAGTAAATCTTTCGGAGAATTTTTCTCTCAAACACTCCAATAGCCGCCTCATCTGCTTGCGCATGTACCCATGCATCAGATCCATATAACAGCACGGGTAGTATCAGCGTCTTGTAGAGTGTGAGTTTAGCCTGGCGGGAGGTGGCCTTGCTTTTGTGTTGTTTGCTCAGACCATAGTAGCGCCGGTTGGCTTCACTATCCTTCTCCGAATTTCAAAACTGATGACATTCGTATCATACCATCAGCTTGGTCTTCTCGCCGTTTACTGCCAGACACACTTCGGCAGACTCCTTCTCAATTTGTTCAAAGGTGGATGTTACCGCTCTCAATGTTCAATCCATTATGTCGATGTCATAGGTGTAGGCGAGTAACATGTGTTGTTTGCTGTAAAGAGTGCCATTTCTGTTCACTTTTGCATCTTGTATGACGTTTTCCAACAGGATGTTAAAAAGTCACACGACAAACTGTGACCTTGTCTGAATCCTCGTTCGATATTAATGGGCTCCGAGAGGCCCTTTCCGACTTTAACTGCTGATCTTGTGCCAGTTAAAGGTATCCTGCATAGCCGTACTAATTTTGCAGTAATGCCAAACGTAGACATGAAGTAGACTTTAAACACCTCTGAACGGATAGGACTGTCAAATGCGGCTTTATAGTCGACGAATAGGTGAAATGTGTCAATGTGTTTTTCGTGGATTTTTTCCAGGATTTGACTCACAGTGAAAATCTGGTCAATGGTGGATTTGCCAGGTCTGAAGCCGCATTGGTATGGTCCAATATTGTCATTGACCATGGGCTTCAGTCGTTCACATAGTACACTGGATAGCACTTTATATGCGATGGGAAGGAGACTTATTCCTTTATAGTTGGCACATATCGTCTTGTCACCTTTTTTTGTGCACGGGACACAGGATGTTGAGGTTCCAATCATTGGGCATACATCCTCTAACCAAATTGTTCTAATCAGCTGGTGCATGCTCCTTGCCAGCATCTGACCACCAGATAGTTCGGCATGTAACTCATAGGCACATGCTGCTTTATTATTCTTCAGCCTATTGATGGCTATCCTGACTTCATCTTGGCTAGGTGGTATACACTCTATACCGCAATCTATTATTGGTTCTGGAGTATCCTCTACACCGGTACTTTTTGATACCAGAATATTTTCAAAATGCTCCTTCCAGATCCTCAGCACGCTGTCTGTATCAGTCACCAGATTTCCTTCTTCATCTCTACAGGAGGATGTGCCTGCACCAATGCCTTCGGTTTGGTGTTTTACCCGTTGGTAGAATTTTCGGACTTCATTCTGACTCCTGTACATCTCGATTTGCTCACGCTCACGTTTTTCTTGTTCTTTCTTTTTTTTCTGAAAATACGTTTCTCCTCTCTCCTTTTCTCCCGATTGTTCTCCATCGCATTACGTGTTGGTAATGTCCGCAGGGTTGCCCTATACGCTGCGTTTTATATATCGGTAGCATTACGATACTCCTGATCGTACTACGGATATCTTGATTGTGGCCTTTGGTACCCAAGTGTTGCTTTTGCTGCAGTTTGTAGGGAGTGGGCAATTCTCTGCCATTGTGCTTCTATATTATTATCGGGACAAGGGGTGCTTTCGTCAAGCTGTTGGGTAAGTTGAGCGGAGTAGGCTTCTGCTATCTGTTGTGTTTGCAGCTTTTCGACGCCAAATTCGCTCCTAGGATCGATCGAACGTCTAATACACTAGATGAATGCCTTCCGTCGATCACAACATGGTCAATTTAATTTCTCGCTTCTTGTTCAGGAGAAATCCAGATGGCCTTGTGTATATCGAGATGCTTGAATCTGGTGCTGCTAACTACCATCTTTTTTGCTGCCGCGAAGTCAATCAACCTCATACCGTTGTCGGATGTTTCTTCATGGAGGCTGAATTTTCCGAAGGTGGGGCCAAAAATATTTTCCCTTCCGATGCATTAAATTCATCTAGGAGAATTTTAATGTCATGGCCAGGGCAGCGGTCATGCTGTTTCTAGGATCTCGTAAAATATGTCTTTGGTCTGCTCATCTTTGTCTTCGGTCGGAGCATGGGTGCAAATGAGACTGATGTAGAAGAACTTCGCTTTTATACGGATTACAGCGATTCGCTCATCTACTGGAGTGAATCTGGAGACGAGGTCTTTTATTCTCCTGTTAATTATAAATCCGCAGCCAAATTCACGTGTCGTTCCATGGCAGCTATAATAGAGGGAGTAATCATCTGATTTACTTACGCCAGTCCCTTTCCATCGCATTTCCTGTAAGGCAATAATATCGGTTTTGTACTTCTTGAGTGCATCCGCCAAAGCGAACAGTACGCCTGTTCTGTACAACGTGCGCACATTCCAAGTGCAGATTCGGAGATGGTGGTCATTTATACGTTTACGGGGGTCGTCAACATTAGGTTTTCCGAGTGTGGACAACTAACCCAACCCATTTTATTATAGTTATTATGTGTTAACTCGCGGCATATATTAGCTCACTATTTCATCGGGTGATGAAAATAACTACCCCACGTGGCACCACGGGGAGGTCAGTGTCCACAATTGAGATGAAAGGTGGACCAAGAAAGCCTGGACTTCGCCATGTTAAAGCCAATCAGTGCCGTTGCTTTGTATCTATCATCTCCTACGCCACCCCTCTGGACAAAAATAGTTGTTTTTAAATCTACGCCTTTTAGTGGTTCGTGAAAATATATATTTTAAAAATCAAGGAGTATTGCGACTCTGGAAAAATATTTGGGTCTTTAAAAAAAATTATTTTTAATATACACGCCTATTGATGGTCTGTCCTTGAAAAAAATATTTTAAAAATCCACGCCTATTGATGGTCTGTCCTTGAAAAAATTATTTTAAAAATCCACGCCTATTGATGGTCTGTCCTTGAAAAAAATATTTTAAAAATCCACGCCTATTGATGGTCTGTCCTTGAAAAAATTATTTTAAAAATCCACGCCTATTGATGGTCTGTCCTTGAAAAAATTATTTTAAAAATCCACGCCTATTGATGGTCTGTCCTTGAAAAAATTATTTTAAAAATCCACGCCTATTGATGGTCTGTCCTTGAAAAAATTATTTTAAAAATCCACGCCTATTGATGGTCTGTCCTTGAAAAAATTATTTTAAAAATCCACGCCTATTGATGGTCTGTCCTTGAAAAAATTATTTTAAAAATCCACGCCTATTGATGGTCTGTCCTTGAAAAAATTATTTTAAAAATCCACGCCTATTGATGGTCTGTCCTTGAAAAAATTATTTTAAAAATCCACGCCTATTGATGGTCTGTCCTTGAAAAAATTATTTTAAAAATCCACGCCTATTGATGGTCGGTCCTTGAAAAAAAATTATTTTAAAAATCCACGCCTATTGATGGTCGGTCCTCGAAAAAAAAAATATTTTAAAAAACCACACCCATTGATGGTCGGTCCTTGAAAAAATTATTTTAAAAATCCACGCCTATTGATGGTCGGTCCTTGAAAAAATTATTTTAAAAATCCACGCCTATTGATGGTAGGTCCTTAAAAAATTATTTTAAAAATCCACGCCTATTGATGGTCGGTCCTTGAAAAAAAATTATTTTAAAAATCCACGCCTATTGATGGTCGGTCCTCGAAAAAAAAAATATTTTAAAAAACCACACCCATTGATGGTCGGTCCTTGAAAAAATTATTTTAAAAATCCACGCCTATTGATGGTCGGTCCTTGAATAAATTATTTTCAAAATCCACGCCTATTGATGGTCGGTCCTTGAAAAAAAAAATATTTTAAAAATTCACGCCTATTGATGGTCGGTCCTTGAAAAAAAAATATTTTAAAAAACCACACCCATTGATGGTCGGTCCTTGAAAAAATTATTTTAAAAATCCAAGCCTATTGATGGTCGGCCCTTGACAAAAAAATATTGAGGTCCTTGGAAAAAAATATTTTAAAAAATCCACCCCTTTGTTAATTCACAATTTTTTTTTCTAATTCCATCACTCCACTTATAACACCCTTTTCTTCCAATTCGAAATAAACCAAATAATTAATTAGCACTTTGTAGTTTAAATATTTTTTGCTTGTATATTTCATCTTCACCCGCTATGCGGGTTGGATGTAATATCTCCCGTATCTTGACATTATGGTGTCAAACATGTTTCACAAAATGACCGCAATACACACCCATACACACAAACACACACACACACTTAGTCACATAAATTATGTAATCTCCGGGATGACATCTTTTGATCCGACATCAAGATTTACAAATGTGTGGTGGAAAAAGTTAAAGGAAACGAAAGCAAAGCAAAGAAAACCAAAACAAAATACCGACAAAGCATCACTTTTACTTTTCATGAATATTCATGACCAACAAACGATCGATCGGTCGGTCGCTCGGTCAATATGTTAATTGAAATCATTGGAAATGGAATTTGGATTATTGAGCGAGCTTGAGAGCTGATGTTGTCAGTGGTCAGTATTGTTTGGATTATCTGATGGGTTTTTTTTTTCCTTGTGTCGACCGTAAATAAGTTGCAGATGATAATCATCCACACATCGCCATGGACAGACGACCAGTGGCCGGTCTGTGTTCCAGTCAAGTCGTAGTGTGACTTACTGACATATTAACCAAAAATAAAACAAAAAACAATAAGAGATGCACATTATTCGTGGAAAGTAGTAGTGTATCTCTCAAGTATGTGTTTATCTTGGCCAACATCAACAACACTAACAAAAACATCCGCAGCAGCAACAACAATAACAACATCGAACCACGGTAGCAGATAAATTAATTTCTTTGTTATTCGATGTCAATGGTTTGGTTCGGTCGGCCGGTTGGTTGGTGGGGTTGTAGGTAGTTTGGGTCTGTTGGCTATGTTACCGTTTCGTATCTGGGATTTGGGTCAGTTTTATTTACATCATTTCATTTTCTTGTTGTTGTTGGTGGTGTTGTATATTTTTTGGACCTGTTCGTAAGGTGGTTTCGAGAAACTATTATTATGCTGTAACAGAGTAAAAGCCACCCATCACAAGAAGCGAAAGAAACAAAACTTTCCATTGAAACGGTTGAAGTTTTGTTGCGGACTTGATAAAGAAATTGCATAAATAATTAAATATTCATTTTAATTGCATTGCTCCATTCTCTTTGTTGGCCAAATAAATACAAAAAAAAAAAAAAAATGGAGAAGAGTCCTTGTAAATGAGAGGACCTACAACAATATTAAATGTTAAATAATGTGTTTTAAAGGCCTTTAAATGCCAAGCAATTTGAATTATTATTAAGAAAGATCGTCTTTGAATTCTTTAGAAAGACCCATTACGTTGTCTATGAGGAGTCTATGGGATATTCTTTGGGGAAACTCAAGGTCTACTATAGTAGGGTGACCATTCTTCCTTGAAAAAATCTATCTCCACGACGGTGCTGCTCCTTGAAGAAATGCATTCTAAAAAATCAACGCCATTTGTAGTCCTTGAAAAAATTATTTGAGAAATCGAGGCCAATATGTGTCTTTGAAAAAAAAAATTAATAAAAAATCTACAACGATTAAGGCCTGCAAAAAAAATATTTTTAAGATCTTCACGCCTGTTGTGGTTATTAAAAAATGTATTACTCCAATTTGCAACGCCTGTTCTAACTTAAATGATCTGTGAATACTCATATCAGAACACCTATGAAATATTCTCCCTTATAATAGAGACATATGAGGTCTCCTATAAGAAGGGAACATATGAAGTCTCCTATAGGAGGGGAACCTATAAGGTCTTCTATATAACCAGTCTTGAAAAAAATTAAATTTAAAAATCAACCGTTATTGTAGTTTTTGAAAAAAATAGTTTAAAATCGGAGCCTATTGTCTTTGAAAAAAATCTATTTTAAAATCCACGCCGATGTTGGTCTTTGAGAGAATATATATTTGAAAACGCATATTGTAGTCATTGAAAAAATTATTTGAAAAATCCATGTATATTGCAGTCTTTGAAAAATAATATTTAAAAAATATACGCTGATTTGGTCTTTGAAAAAATTATTTAAAAAACATCACATTTGTAGTCGTTGGATCTTAAAAAGTAGTCTTTAAAAAATCCACGCCTGTTCTGGTCCCTGAAATGTTGGATCTTAAAAAGTAGTCTTTAAAAAATCCACGCCTGTTCTGGTCCCTGAAATGTTGGATCTTAAAAAGTAGTCTTTAAAAAATCCACGCCTGTTCTGGTCCCTGAAATGTTGGATCTTAAAAAGTAGTCTTTAAAAAATCCACGCCTGTTCTGGTCCCTGAAATGTTGGATCTTAAAAAGTAGTCTTTAAAAAATCCACGCCTGTTCTGGTCCCTGAAATGTTGGATCTTAAAAAGTAGTCTTTAAAAAATCCACGCCTGTTCTGGTCCCTGAGGGTTTCTCTTAGTTCGAAGATGTCAAATAAGGCTGTCTTTTTGGAAATTCGTACTGGAACGTCACGAAAAGTACTAAATATGGTACGATACGATGTATTTAACGGACCTGTGGATCTAGAACTCTTAAATTTGGAATGGGCATCTCTGACAGAGATGGTCCGTCAGAAACAGTGACGTATAATACATACGTCAGAAACGTCAAAAACCCACCCAAAACCATTAGGTTTTCGACAAAATAGCTATTTGATACGATTTCGATTTAGGTGAAGCGATCGAGCTTGAACCTTGAAATTTGTAATTAAAGAAGTTTTGGAAATTCGTACACATGTGTACTAAAGTGTTCCAAATACGGTAAAATTTTGATTTGGATGAATCGATCGGAAATTTGTATTAATTATTCTTAAAGATGAGTAGTGGGTAAATACCCAAAGTGCAAATAACCGGTAAATTGGATAAGTACCCATTTGTGGTTATTCATTTGGGTATTTACTACATTGAATCGGCAATACAATATCTTGCACCTTATTTCCGGGTTTTTCTTATCAAATTGATTTAAAATGGAAATTTTTACAATACTTAAAAAACGTGACTCAAATGTTTTTAATGCCAAAGCGAACATTGATATGGAAAATGGAGTGCATGGGTCCAAGATTTTATATAGCCCCCATATAACCGTACTTCCCGATATAAGGTATTTTTGTCTATTAGACGCATTTTATAATCACATTGGTTGTAATTTGACACAGAAAGTTCTCCAAACCAAATATCCATGCAAAAATGTATCGATGTAGTTCCACGTTTTCTAGTACCCCCCCCCCCCCCCATACAAAGATACCCATCATTTTTGAGTAATTATCCAAAAAATGGGTATAAACTCATTAACTGCCGAACCACTTGATGAAGGCTGTCAACATTTGGGTCGGATGGTTTTTATTGTCAAAGCAAACCGTACCTCCCGATTTAAGGTATTTCTTATCGCTTAGACACATTTTAAGATCAAATTGGCACAGAGAGTTATCTATGGGTATCAAATATCAGTAGTGTTGGCGGGTTATATGGGATACCATTTGTATTTTGTTTTTGCAAAATAGTCAGGCTTAATCCCAGTTTGTTGTTTTTATAAAAAACAACTATTTATTAGTGGGGAATGTATGGCATTGTCCGCCGAGGGGTAAGGCAGGGAAGACTATAGTTTCGGATCTCGCCACTGATCCTCATCAGTTCCCTCAGTTTTTTGTTGGGATATTCTCCCCAGAAGCTATTAATAGCTTCTTTACAAAAAACCTTTCAAACCCAAATGTCTCTTGTGACAATTCGAAGTTCTTACGTTACCAGCGATACGACCCCAATGAGAAGTTCGTTTCGTTGGCGCCTGACTTCGTGGTCAACAAGGCATTTACAGACAACTACAATACATTTCCCACTGCTAACGAACTTCTTCCAACGAAACGAACTTCTCATTGGGGTCGTATCGCTGGTAACGTAAGAACTTCGAATTGTCACAAGAGACATTTGGGTTTGAAAGGTTTTTTGTAAAGAAGCTATTAATAGCTTCTGGGGAGAATATCCCAGCAAAAAACTGGAACTGATGAGGATCAGTGGCGAGATCCGAAACTATAGTCTTCCCTGCCTTACCCCTCGGCGGACAATGCCATACATTCCCCACTAATAAATAGTTGTTTTTTTATAAAAACAACAAACTGGGATTAAGCCTGACTATTTTGCAAAAACAAAAAGGTATCAAATATCCATAAAAAATCTAGATGTTGTTCCACGTTTTCTGGTAGCCCCCATACAAAGGTACCCCTATGTTGAGTATTTATCCAAAAATTGGGTATAAACTCATTAAGTGCGAAACCACTTGGCATAGGTGGCCAAAATTTGCTAGTATAATATATAATATGCTATACAAAATACTATTGTGACACCTTTTTTTGGTACTTTAAAACTTATCCTTTAAGCAATCCTCGCCTGTTGTGGTCCTCGAAAAATATTCTTACAAAAATACAACAAATCTTCTGATCTAGTAAAAATAATGTTTAAATCAATAAAGTGTTTTAAAAGAAATCACTTATTTCCCAGCTCTTATTTTATATTTTCAATTTTAAGTAAGGTGATTAGGAATTCATAGCACATATGTTGCATATCGTTTCAAACTATAATTTATGATAGCGTATTCCAATAAATTGTATAAAAAAAAATTGGCTGACAGATAACCATTCAGCAGCTGGAATTTTACCAATATACGCTACGCAGTTTTCTAAGAAAAAGTTTCACTTGTTATACCCTTCACTACACTGTGGTACAGGGTATTATGTCTTTGTGCATATGTTTGTAACAGGCAAAAAGAAAACCAGATAGACACATGGTTCCTTTTGAGAATATGCATAGAATCACTTTCTGAGTCGATTTATGCATGTCCGTCCGTCTGTCTGTCGATGTTAAATTGTAAATAAAGTACAGGTCGCATTTATAATCCGAATTGGATGAAATTTGGCATAGGTCACTTATTTGGCCCAAGGACGAACCCTATTGAAATTAGGAAAAATCGGTTCAGATTTAGATATATTTTTCGTCCGATTTAATGTAAACGGTCCCTATATATCTTTCGATTTGCACGAAATTTAGTGCAGCGTAATGAATTAGGTCTGGAATGATGTGTGTCAAGTTTCCTGAAAATCGGTTCAGATTTGGATATACCTCCCAAATATATGTTCGCCCGATTTGATGTAAATGGTGTACCAAAGTCCCTATATATCTTTCGATTTGCACGAAATTTGGCATAGCGTACTGAATTAAGTTAGAACGATGTGTGTTAAATTTCGTGGAAATCGCTTCAGATTTAGATATAGTTCCCATATATATTTTCGTCCGATTTTCGGTAAATAGTGCACCAAAGTCCCTTGTATCCTTCGATTTGCGCGAAATTTCGCATAGCGTGCTGAATTAAGTCTAGAACGATGTGTGTTAAATTTCGTGAAAATCGGTTACGCAGACGGCTCTAAATCTGCTCGAATGAAATTAAAGTTAGGATAGGATGGAGATAGAGGGAACGTAGACATGCAATTGTTAGGATACATATGTACAATATACCTAAAGTGGCGAAGGGTATTATATAGTCGGCCCAGTCCGACTTTACTACTTGCCTTACTGGTTAAAATTAAGTTTATTATTTAATCAGCTGCCATTATACAGAATGTGTGATTCTTTTAATCATAAAGTCATCCTTGTAAAAATATATAAGAGTACGAACAATATGTAGAACTCAAGCATGATTACAATATAACCCATACTGAGATTATATTAGTTTTACAGTCTGTGAGAGGAGCATGATTAAATTTGTTCACAATTTTAGACCGGTGAATATTCTACAAATGTTTAGATCTCCGAAAAATATCTATCTATATATAACGGTAAGCTATTGCACTATTTTAAACCTTCACCATATTCCGAGAAAAAAAAAACAAATAACCAAATAAATCATAGAGAACACGTCAAAGAAATGCATTTATTTAAATCGAGTTTGTTTTATTACGCTGGCAGAAGAGACGCCAAACAAAAAAAAAATAAAAACACAAGCGGCACTATGTGGTAATGGCTTAAAATTAATGAGCCAGCGAAAAGAGCGATAACGCGATATTGAAAAAAAAAACATGATCAATGTCCAAAGCCAAAATACAAAACAAATTACATAGACAAACAAAACAGACTGACTGAGTGACAAAACGGCAGACCGTACGACAGATACAAAACATTTGAATGAGTTAATTTAAATGTTTTGTTTGCAACAACACCAATAAACAAAGACCCATCGTCATATATTTTGTAGGTATCATCCATCGGTCACTTAGCCAATTACAGATGGCAACAAAAACAATAACAAATCATTTCATTTCTTTTTTATTGGACTCTTTCCTCGGTTTTTGGTCAATAATCGCACCACGCATTACGCACCCCGGACGGACAAACGACCGAGCGTTCGATCCATCGATCGACCGACCAAACGACCGTTGGCATTGAAGTACATAAACGACCCGCTCTGTTTTGACCAGCGACACAATCCAAAATACAACAAATACAACGACGACAACAACAACAACCGAAAAAACACAACAACGTTAATTTGTTGGCCTTAACGTCGTAACGTAATAACTTACTTCAATGGCTTAGCAGTCTGCATTCAGCTCGGTCAGCAGTCTTGACAAAATCACCACACTAACCAAATACCGCCCGAACCGTGCGAACGGACAAAACCAATCAACCGCCCGCCAAGTAAAGAAATAAAAATAAAAGCTCAAAAATAAAATACAAACGAAAGAAAAAAATTAAATAATTTCACTTTTCAACAATTGAATAATCGTTGTAACGAAACCTTAAAACCAAACAAAAATTTAAATACAGCTCAAGGAAAGTGCAGTGTTGTTGTGATTCGAAACCGAATTTGAATATTTAAGAATATAATTTTTTGGAAAATTAGTTAAACAGAATTTGAAAATAGTTCTGAGTTTCTGTGTCAAATGTTGTTGTTTAAAGAATGCAATCCGAAAACATTGTTGTTATTATGTGTAGTGCTGAATTTGGTACTTACCTTTGTGAATGGCCAATTTATCATCGACGAAGATGAGGATGACAGCAACGAGGATGAAACACCCGAAGAGAAGGCTGAAAGAAAAAGCATCGAAGAGGATTCTTATTTAACTGTGGTAAGGTGAAAGTTTTGTGAATAAAAATGAGGATATACAAATAAATATAAATATCAAAATAACGTGTGTTGACCACATTTTTGGCAAGCATTTAAGGTGGACTAGGCTTGCATGACAAAAAAAATCGCCATGCTTTTACGTATGTTCCATCAAAAGAAGACAAAATATTAGCATGGGGAAAAAGAAATCCATTATTATTTCGGCAGATGGCTGTACTGCTAGATTTCTCGTAAAGTATCGTTCAAACAATTTCGGATTTAGCCTGGTTGGAGGGGTGACATTTCGTAGTAAAAAACCAGTGAGCGGAGCAGTATAGTAGGGCGGGGCCGACCATACGATACCCTACACAACTACTACGGAACTCTAACTTTCTGCCGACATTTATTCTGAGCGTGGGCAATATTTCCTGATAGTTGCACCCTCTTGCCCGATTAAAGATTGACAGAACCTCTTCCTTACACTGACATATTTTCCGAATATTCCCAGATTCCCTTCACCGTGGATTGTGTTGTGATGTTCGGATTATAATTGTGGCCTATAGATCGTCTCGAAAAAACATAAAAAATAAGTTTTCGGTCCACTTCATCCTAACATTTTTATCTGATCTTCATCAAAAATTATAGCCGATATCCCTGGATCCTCATTGAATATTTCAAAGCGATCAGCGCTATATTTCCGCCCTCTAGTGTGGTAATGGATTACTAAATAATATCTCAGTACGTAAGCACCTTTAAATATTTAAGTGTAACTCCCACATCTGAGTACATACGACCATATAACTAGTATCAATTTCAAGGTCTACCACTCCTCTCGGATATGCTATCAACTTCTGGGGCCTTTGTTATTCAGGGGTAAATATATACGCTATAGAATACAAATTTTGTCATTTTTCACACAAAAGTCAGGGTCCATTTGACCTGCTAAATATTGACCGATTTTTATCAAAACAAGCATGCCTATTCTATGGCCCGATCCCCCTCTCCATGCAAAAATTCGCGGTGTTTGGGCCATAATTCCGACTTGTGGAGCGACCAAAAAAAACCGACAAAAATAAAGTTTTTGGTCCATTTCATCCCCTAAATATTAACCGATCTTTTCCAAAAACAATAGGGGTCTTCATTGGCCAGAACCTATCCTACAGGCAACATTTCGTGAAGATTGGTCCATAACTGTAGCCTGTATCGTGTTTACAAATTACAATAGACAGACGGACGGACACACATGTCTAGATCGACTCAGCTAGTCGAGATATGACGATCGTTATACTTAAAGGTTGGTGTAGGACCAATATTTCGCGGCGTTGCAAACTTTTGGGGCTACACAAAGCTATAATACCCTGACAACATTGTTGTGTAGGGTATAAATATTTAAAATCAGTCGGACGAATTATATTGTTTTTTCTGTCAGAAGGATCAGTATCAGGAAGCGAAATACAAAAATACAGACTACTAGGTGGGGGAAATGCGACTTCAAAATATCAACTTATAGCCAATCTGGCTAGTGCCTAATATTTTCAAAATACCAAACATTGTGCTATGTGAATATTTTAAAACTTGGGCGCATATATTCAATACCAAACATTCAATGAGCAATGGGCAAGCGATCTAAATTAAAAAAAAAACTGCAACTTAAATATAGTGAGCTGTATCGAGGTATCAATAGACGCACTTGGCTAAATCAGCATAAAATCTTACTCTTATCGAAAATATTTTTTTATTTCAATTCCAAAACATGGTTAGGTTCGGTCATGCCGAATTTCATTTACATGGAGGCTGGACACTTATATGGGGGCTGGCTATGCCATGGTAAATTTTAGTAGGAAGTTTTGACGCCTAAATAAAAACCTTAAATTGTGTCGGAAATTTCACAGGGAGCTACGCCAAATCATAAACCGATATTATAAATTGTGTATCAGATAGTTTTAAATCCTCTGACAAAATAAGAAGAAAACTAAACGAGTAAAATACCTAAAGAAGGCCGAACCAAATACGGAACATATGTCACAATATGGTTCTACTACCCTAAACTCCACTAATGGTTCGTACCCATGTTAAAATATTAAAATTCAATTTTCGAATCTCTCTTACTCCCACAAAAATGGTGCAAATTGAACCAAACTAAATTTTTTGTAAGGTAATTCTGTTGGTTTTAATGAAACCACGACGATTTTCCCACGGCTGGCAAATGAGCATACATTATGATACGAACTTTCAATTTCGAAGATTTAAAGAAGAAAATAAATTTACGTGTGTAATCAAATTATTAGTAATTATTTTCGACGGCGTACATGATTTCCAATCACTGGAACATCCGAATTTCAAATCAATTAGAAGAGTACATATATAGCGTAGGTATGAAATAGGATTATAGACTTCGCTCGGAAATTAGCAAAATGACGGACATAGGAAAATTATTTTTTGGAAAATAAGGAAGATATTGATCGGATTACATTTATCCTCGCTAAAATTTAAAACCGATTAGATTAATAGTTTTTGTATTTATCGCGTCCAACAATCGTAAAAACATTGTTTCGAGAAAAGCTCAACGGTGTTAAGAAACGATCCCGCTGTCACGTGTTGAAATTTTTTATAAGATATTCTTGACAAGTTATAGGTTCATAGTGAATAAAAAAGAAATCGATTTTTTGGAATCGATAATGGGGGTCCTTTTAAAAACTAACCAGTAATAGCCGCAAACAATAATATCTTCTTCATGAAGAAAACTGAGGTACCAGCAAAAAATTCATCACGCCATAACTCAAAAACTTGACCTATGGTGAATTCCCTCTTCTGACTTCTGGACGTACTCACTATAATATTATAATTCTCAAAGAGAGTTTTTAACATCCCTGGCAATAACATCGATTTTGTGCCTAGTGTAATTAATTATGTAGGGATATGTTAATATAGTGAGATGAATCTGTTAAGAGATATTTTATTTACATTGGATATGCAAAATGATATCCACTTCAGTTTTTATTGAGACTTGGATAAAAGGCTCTGACAAAACATGGACCTATCTTGAAAATGCTCTGGCATAATGTTTGTATCCTTTCAGTAACATACAAATACCAATGCAAGTATTATGAGCATCACTGGTAAAGACAGACAGATACAACTACATCGACACAGAATACTCTGATCCAGAATGTACGTTATACCGCCTACGACGAATATTTCCAGATGTTAAAAATGGAATGATCATTCAATAAAACGAATACCAAGCAAGGGCTAGGGATTGAAGTCAGTCAATTTTCCATTTTTATAATATACGGGCCGTCATATCTCGTCTAGTTGAGTCGATCTTGATATATGTGTCCGTCCGTTTATCTATTAACATTTTGTAAACGGTCACAGCTCTGGAACAAACCTCACGAAATTTTGCACATCCGGTTCTGGCTGAAGAAGACAAATATAATGTTTTGTAAAATCGGTCAATATTTAGCTGTTGAAGTCGACCAAAAGTATTTTTATTTGGTTTTCTGGTCGCTCTTGGGGTCTAGAGCATAATAAGAAGTTCAAATAGACCATGACTTTTGTGTGAAAATTACAAAATCTGCATTCTATGCCGTACACATTTATTCCAGAAGGATAAAGGCTGGATACGGGTCTAAGTATATTAATAGACATGCTGATAGATATGCAATTTTAAATACACTTCCTGTTGTTTGGTGTTGTTTTTGTCAGTTATTCTCGTCGCTTTAGAGGCCAAATTTATGACCCGAACAGCAATATATGCGGGGAAGGGAATCTAGTCAACGAAAAATCATGACTGTTTTGATAATGATCGGTCAATTTATTTCTAATCAAATGAACCAAAAAATTTGCAAAACAAACTATAAAAAGTCATCCCGTGGATTTTTTTGCCAAGAGAAGTATAGTTGATCTTTAAATTATATTGATTTATATACACGCATATAGGAATTACCCTAAAATGTTCATAGGGTTTTCATATTCTGATATAGTTTAGTAGTATTAATATTACACCAGGAGGTGTACATCTCGGTAATTTTTTCACAGAAAATTAAAGTCCAGAGGATGTTACGTAGGGTATCATAGGGATGGCCCTGTACGACTATACTGCTGCGCTCACTGATTAAATCAAATGCATTGTATGAAACATACGGAAACTTCTGCGTGTCAATGTGAAATCGAAAAACAAGCATTTATTGGAATGATACAAAAAATTGAAAAAAATCCTGGAACAGATTAAAAATGCAAAAAAAAAGTGCTAGGTGATAGATAACTTTTTTGGTGCTAAATGAGTTTAAAAGGGCTAAAGCTAGCACTAAAACTGCTAAATTGGCAATGCTGTTGACGACCCCGACTTTTCAAATTTAAATTCGGGATGAAAAAAGGCCAAATTAGGACAAAAAGTCCAACTGACATTTATTGTGTACCCCGTCGCTGGACGATTTCCAGATTGTCCAGAAATTGTTTCACCTCCAAAGCCTAGGCCTTGATAAAAGAGATAACTGTTCGGTTACTAGAAAATGTATTTGCCTTTATGGACCGAAGTTATCCCAAATCCGAAGTTTTTAATTTGTTTGTAAAATCTTCAACCATAGGAGGAAGAGTGGGCTGTCAATTTCCAGGCTCCTAAACTGAATAACGAATAGCTCTGTTTTGTAAAGCAGTATTTAATGTCATGGAGAGTTATAGAAAATACATGGAGTTAAATAAGAAAACAAATAATTGTCATCGATATTGAGGGTGTACGCTTGTACAGGAGGTACAGACTTTTCATGCTAATGCTATCTGACCAGCAGCAAATGGGGTTTGCATTTTTATACCCTTCACCACACTGTGGTACAGGGTATTATGTCTTTGTGCATATGTTTGTAACAGGCACAAATAATCGAGATAGACCCATGGTTCCTTTTGAGAATATACATAGAATCACTTTCTAAGTCGATTTATGCATGTCCGTCCGTCCGTCCGTCCGTCTGTCTGTCTGTCCATGTTAAATTGTAAACAAAGTACAGGTCGCATTTATGATCCGAATTGGATGAAATTTGGCATAGGTCACTTATTCGGCCCAAGGACGAACCCTATTGAAATTGGGAAAAATCGGTTCAGATTTAGATATAGCTCCCATATATATATTTAACCGATTTAATGTAAACGGTCCCTATATATCTTTCGATTTGCACGAAATTTGGTATAGCCTAATCATTTAGGTCTAGAATGATGTCTGCCAAGTTTCGTAAAAATCGGCCCAGATTTAGATATAGCTCCCATATATAGTTTCGTCCGATTTCATGTAAATGGTGCCCCAAAGTCCCTATATATCTTTTGATTTGCACGAAATTTGGCATAACGTACTGAATTAAGCCTACAGTGATGTCTGCCAAGTTTCGAAAAAATCGGTCCAGATTTAGATATAGCTCCCATATATAGTTTCGTCCGATTTCATGTAAATGGTGCCCCAAAGTCCCTATATATCTTTCGATTTGCACGAAATTTAGCATAACGTACTGAATTAAGCCTAAAGTGATGTCTGCCAAGTTTCGAGAAAATCGGTCCAGATTTAGATATAGCTCCCATATATAGTTTCGTCCGATTTCATGTAAATGGTGCCCCAAAGTCCCTATATATCTTTCGATTTGCACGAAATTTGGCATATCGTACTGTATTAAGCCTAAAATGATGTCTGCCAAGTTTCGAGAAAATCGGTCCAGATTTAGATATAGCTCATATATATAGTTTCGTCCGATTTCATGTAAATTGTGCCCCAAAGTCCCTATATATCTTTCGATTTGCACGAAATTTGGCATAACGCACTGAACTGAGCCTAAAATGATGTCTGCCAAGTTTCGTGAAAATCGGTTCTGATTTAGGTATAGCTCCCATATATAGTTTCGTCCGATTTCATATAAAGTGTGCACCAAAGTCCGTATATGTCCTTCGATTTGCATGAAATTTGGCATAACGTACTGAATTGAGCCTAGAGTGATGTCTGCCAAGTTTCAAGAAAATCGGTCCAGATTTCTATATAGCTCCCATATATAGTTTCGTCTGATTTCATGTAAATGGTGCAACAATGTCGCTATATATCTTTCGATTTGCACGAAATTTGGGACAATGTACTGAATTGAGCCTAGAGTGATGTCTGCCTTGTTTCGTGAAAATCGGTACAGATTTAGATATAGCTCCCTTTTATTATAGATTGATTTTAAGTAATTGACGCACCAATGAACCAATAGGCACCAATGAACCAATAGTATAACCTGACCTGTGACAAGTTTTTTGCAATCGCTTAATATTTGGATAGAGCTTCCATATATATTTTCGCCCGATTTTATGTAAATTGGGCATCAAACTCCTCATGTTAGTCAGATTGGCATCAAATTTTGCACAACTTACAAAATTGAGCATAGAATTACGTAGTTGCGTTTTGTAGAAGTACAGATATAGCCCAACGGATGGCCTATTTATATTTGATTGATTCACATTTAGATAAATATCACATATTTTATTTCATCCAATTTCATGTTAATAGTCCTGTTTAATATACCCATAGTGGTGAAGGGTATCATATAGTCGGCCACGTCCGACTTTACTACTTTCCTTACTGGTTTATATTTTATTATGTTATTTGTATCCCTATGTCAGAGATGAATACCTGGACTGATACCATAATGAACTCGATTATGCATAGCTTGCCAGCTTTTCTAAGGAGTGGCCAAGGGAATTCACTCTAAATGTATATCTGCCGTTTTTTTAGGATAGGCGGGAGATATAAATTGATGGAGAATACGTATTCTAGATCAATAACACATTGATTATTATTGAAAACCCTTACATGTGAATTGGTGATCCAAAATTATCCAATTTCTTTGGGCCGTTTTTAGCATAGGCGAGTGTTATGAGCACCTCTGGTATAGAAATATTTAGCTCTATGATGTTCTGACTACTCTTACAATGTTGGTGAAATATGATTTCGGATATTGCAAATAGCCAAGGGTTAAGTTAAGTTCCGTCTGGTCGAAATGTTAAAATCATTCACATTACGGTACTGGCCGTTCTTCGAACCCCAAATTTTAAATTTCGGTTGACCAAAAATTCTTTAAACTACGGAAAATTAGGATTCTTAAAATATACCGAAAGAAAGAAATCTAACTTCTGACCCATCATGACGAGTAAACAAAAATTCTAATGGGACGTGGTAAAAATACTCCACATCCCAGCTATAAAACATAGAAAAGAAATTGAAAAACCCTAACTAAAGCATTAAATTAATGAAGAAAAATGTTCCTTATCGAAGATTTTTTTACATACAAACAACCATCAGTAATTTCTTAATGGAATACATACTCCCACACATCTTCATTTAAATATAACTGAAACATTTACAAAACAAAAATAAAACCCCCCACATCAGCATTTCGTTTCATCATCAATACAATACGTAAATAAATATTCATGAAATGTTGCATCCCTTACCGAAAATGTTGCCCAGTAACAGTTAACAAATATTCCGCAGACATGCCATATTTTATTATTTTCATTTTTTATTTTGCATTATTTTTACTTATTTAAATATTTTTGTTTTTGTTCTCTTTTCTTTTCATTTCATATTTCATGCATTCGCCACAACGTTCAACACCAATCACAACATTTGCCTTTTTCCAACCACCAACGACAACGCCACCTCCACCCTCAACCCCTACCAACAACAAGGATAAATTAATTGCTAAATATGGGTATCCTGCCGAAGTGCATCAAGTTACCACCGAAGATGGTTACATTCTGACAATGCATCGGATTCGTGGCAAAAAAGGTGCCCAGCCATTCTTTTTACAGCATGGGCTTGTTGACAGTTCGGCGGGTTATGTTATAATGGGTCCGAATGTGAGTTTGGGTAAGTAAATTGTCTTCTTGTCTTCATTGTTTGTCTCTGTGTGCCTTTCGAAAGGAGCGTGTTCTTTATTACAATGCCCCCTCGTCTTGAATCTCTCTCTCCTACATTTATTGGCTTAATTTAATGGTTATTTGGAGGAAAATTTTAAAACTCCTTTATAGACTTACTACCCAACAAAAATATTCCCCATAGAATTTCGTATTACAATACTCAAATTTTACTTTCGAAATCCTTTCAAATGTTTTACTGGGTTGCATGCATCCTCCATTGAATATTTTTCGCCTGCACTTAATCTGTGTCTGTGTTTGAATAGCGTCAGTGGCGCCCAACATCGTTAACAACACCGCACTATAGATCTGGCCACAACAGTTTTACCTCATCTCATCGATAGATAGGGTGGCGGCATTACAATACCCCGTTGGAGCAGTATCATCACCAAGTTTAAGTCTCTTCTGGCTGAATGTCTATCCGCCTGTCGGCTGCCTTTCGTTCATTCATCCGTTCATTCATTCATTCAGAATCATTTTATAATTTGATGTTGAGTAATTCCTAAGATAAACATAGATTAATTACTTCCACGCATAATGGAGAATGAATGAAACGAATGAGCGAACGACGGAAGGAAGCAGCGAACGCCTGAATGATGCTGCGGTAAGGGCAACAACAGACGGCTTCGTGGTGTTTGCTGATGTCTGCAACAAATTGCAAGGATTAAAAATGTATAGTTTGGAGAGTGTGTGTAGTTTATGGCTTTCAATTAAACGTCAAGTAGTTGTTATAGTTTTTGGCTGTGCATCGGTTTGTGTGTACTTGTGTGTGTGGGTGAGCGAACGAGTGCAAGTGTTTGGTAGTATTCGATTTTTTGGGCAAAAAGTTCCCTTGGGATCCGCAACACTATTCTCTCAAGGGCTGGAAGTTTGAATATTTTCAAAAGGACTTAAAGCGTGGAATAAAACTAATGAAGGACATAATCCTGGAATTTTTTTTATAGCATAGGGTTTCGAGGTACCTGGAAGTTGTGGATTTTTAACAAATATTCTTTCAAATAACCCTTTGAGCCCCGATTTTTTCCGCAATTTTAGAAAAAAATTCTGTTCACAGATTTAAAGCAACTATCCTAAATAGGATATGAACAAAATTTGACATCGGGAGGTACAGTACATTCTTTCTAAAAAATAAAAGTTCTTACTTACATACTTAGCTGGCTTGTTACAGAACAGTTGTTCCATAAGCCGAGCTTAAAAAAGATTTCCAAGCCCATCGGTCTTGTGCGCATCTCCTCCAATTTGAAATACCACGTTCAAAGATGTTGTTTTCTACTTGGTCTTTCCATCTAATTCGTGGCCTTCCCTTTCTACGGGAAGCATCAGTAGGCTCGTTTTTATATGCCTTTTGAGCTGGGGTATTCTCATTCATCCGCACAACATGGCCTAGCAACCGTAGTCGCTGCAACTCAATACGACTGACTATGTCGATGTCCGCGTATAAATTGTAGAGCTCGTTATGAATTATTCTTTCAAACATCCCAAAAGCTGTCTCATCTGCTTGCGCAAGTACTCATGCTTCTGATCCATATAATAGCACGGGTAGTATCAGCGTCTTGTAAAATGTGAGTTTGGTCTGGCGGGAGGTGGCCTTGGGGATTTGCCAGGTCTGAAGCCGCATTGGTATGGTCCAATGATGTCATTGACCATTGGCTTCAGTCGTTCACACAGCACACTGTATATCACTTTATATGCGATGGGAAGGAGACTTATTCCTCTATAGTGTGCACATATTGTCTTGTCTCCTTTTTTGTACAGCGGACACAGGATGCTGAGGTTCCAATCATTGGTCATGCATTCCTCTAGCCAAATTGTACTAATCAGCTGGTGCATGCTCCTGACCAGCATCTGGCCACCAATCTTGAATAGTTCGGCTGGTAACCCATCGGCTACTGCTACTTTATTTTTCCTCAGCCGATTAATTGATTTTATAACTTCATCTTGGCTAGGTGGTATACACTCTATACCATCATCTTTTATTGGTTCTGGGGTATCTTCTTCAACGCCACTATTTGATACCAGAAGCTTTTCAAAATGCTCCTTCTAGATCCTCAACACGCTGTCTGTATCTGTCACCAGGTTTTCTTCTTCATCTCTACAGGAGGATGGAAGCCTTCCGTTTAGTGTTTTACTCGTTGGTAAAATTTTCGGACTTCATTCTGACTCCTGTACATCTCGATTTGATCACACTCACGATTTTCTTGTTCTTTCTTCTTTTTTCTGAAAACACGTTTCTCCTCTCTCCTTGTTTGTATGTTCACGATTTAAAGTGACTGTATTCTGGCATTCCGAGTTCTGGGTGATTAAAATGCTTCTCAGAATAGTTATTGACAAATTAAAGGGTAGCATTTTTGTTGTCGACCTAATCTGTTGTCTGCTTACTGGTCTTAATTGAAGTTCCGAACAATAGATGTATTGAAGAACTGCATTGAATTTTAGAAACGACTATTACTAAACTTTATGAAGTTAGCCCTGTAGCATTGGACGAATATGGAACTTGATTCAAGAATAATTTCATTTACCAGATAAGAATGAAGGATCGACGAATTGTGTGGCGCAATCTCCCTTCCTACTCTCCATTCCTCCCCTGCAATATATATTTACCTTCGGTGACAAAAAGAAGGCCACTGATTCTTGACAGGAGGCTAGAGGCGCACTAGTCTATGTGTGGAAAGAATACTCTCCTTAGATCACGAAAATTGTTTAGGAAGTTCCTGGGTGGTGGATGTCTATCGATAAGGTGCATAGATGTGTGAGGAGACGTGTGTATGCAGCATAGAGTTGTTCTAACTAGTTCAGTTAGCTGATCGCTCTTTTTAGTTCAGCTCTTTAGACTGAACTAGTTCGGTCATCTAGTTCAGTAGTTCAATCGTTCACAATTAAGCTCTTTTATTCAGCTGTCGTTTTACTTCGGTCGTTCTTTTAATAGTTCATGGCTATCCGAATCGTTTGTGTTCTTGGTAGATTGTGATGTGTGAATAAAAACAATTTTACAGGATTCTGTTATGTTGATGAAGAGGATGGATCTTTGCAAGCAATTGATTGAAGCTATGTGTAGACACCATGTAGCTGTTAGCGGAACATTCTGTCAGAATTTATGTTCATCAATTACGTTACCACAGACCTCCATTCGATTTATAGTTTCATTTATATATCCCTCAAGTGCTAGATCGTAATATTCCATGGAAACTTAGAAGTATTCGTATATTGAAAATTTATACATCGATGATGGGATGTATAAGCCCACTTCTACTATCCTCCAACAAAAAATTAATTTCTAAATCCCATACGAAGCGAACGGAATATCAACGGAATCAATCAAATAGATTATTCGATTTACAGTAAATCTTGCACATCGTTCTAGGTTTACCGAATCTAGATCGAGTTATAAAATGGACCGGGGTTTTGTAAGAATCTCGACCCTATACCACACAATTGTTTTGACATATTCATAGTTCAAATTTACAGAATCTGGCGAGAACACAGCAAATTTACATTTTGGTATATTTGTTTAATTTTAGCCTACCTCCTGGCCGACAATAACTACGATGTTTGGCTAGGCAATGCCCGTGGTAATCGTTATTCCCGCAATCACACCACCTTGGATCCGGATGGTAAGAAATTCTGGGAATTCAGTTGGCATGAAATTGGAATGTATGATTTGCCGGCTATGATTGATTATGTGCTGAAGAATACCGGGTTCAAGAGGATACAATATGCTGGGCATTCGCAGGTGAGTCAGAGGAACATAATCAAATCAAAAATTAGAAGTTAATTATTAAATAATTATTTCTTCTGCAGGGTTGTACAGCATTCTTTGTCATGTGCTCGATGAGACCGGAATACAATAAGAAAATCATTATGATGCAGGCATTGGCCCCAGCAGTTTATGCCAAGGAGACCGAGGAGCATCCTTATATTAGAGCTATTAGTTTGTATTTTAATGTAAGTTAAGGGGAGGGCCATAGAAACCGATTTTTTGATTAATAATTGAAATATGTTTTCCAGACCCTGGTTGGCAGTTCCATAACGGAAATGTTCAATAACGAATTTAGGTTTTTGTGTCGCATGACTGAGGAAACGGAACGTTTGTGTATTGAGGCTGTGTTCGGAATTGTGGGCAGAAATTGGAATGAATTTAATAGGGTAAGGAGAAACCGAGAATCTTTAATTCCATAAATTAATAATACAAATTTACGTTTGTAGAAAATGTTCCCGGTAATCTTGGGCCACTATCCGGCCGGTGTGGCAGCCAAGCAGGTTAAACATTTCATACAGGTCATTAAGACGGGGAAATTTGCCCCCTATAGTTATAGCACCAATAAAAATATGCTGCTGTACAAGGAGCGAGAACCACCACGTTATAATTTAACGGCGGTGACGGTACCCACCTATGTTTATTATTCGAAAAATGATTTACTCTGCCATATTTTTTGAGGGCTATTAGAGGCGTGGATTTTTTAAAGAATATTTTTTGAGGGCTATTAGAGGCGTGGATTTTTTAAAGAATATTTTTTGAGGGCTATTAGAGGCGTGGATTTTTTAAAGAATATTTTTTGAGGGCTATTAGAGGCGTGGATTTTTTAAAGAATATTTTTTGAGGGCTATTAGAGGCGTGGATTTTTTAAAGAATATTTTTTGAGGGCTATTAGAGGCGTGGATTTTTTAAAGAATATTTTTTGAGGGCTATTAGAGGCGTGGATTTTTTAAAGAATATTTTTTGAGGGCTATTAGAGGCGTGGATTTTTTAAAGAATATTTTTTGAGGGCTATTAGAGGCGTGGATTTTTTAAAGAATATTTTTTGAGGGCTATTAGAGGCGTGGATTTTTTAAAGAATATTTTTTGAGGGCTATTAGAGGCGTGGATTTTTTAAAGAATATTTTTTGAGGGCTATTAGAGGCGTGGATTTTTTAAAGAATATTTTTTGAGGGCTATTAGAGGCGTGGATTTTTTAAAGAATATTTTTTGAGGGCT